CTGCACAGATGCGCTGTTTTCGTTCAAATCAAAGCGTAAATACATGTAGAAAATTTATCCTTGTGTTGCAGCTGACACAGAAGAGCGTACGCTGCTTGCGTTCAGTGGATACTCTCCAAAATGGCGCTACGGTGATGCGGAGAGACACAGAGGAGACGAATTGTTAAATAAAGTCGTTATTTTTGATTCCTTTGCGTACAAAAGTGTTCTCGTCGCTTCATAACGTTACGGTTGCACCACTGATGGCAGATGGACTATTCTGATGATGCCTTTCATACTTTTCTGGACCTTGACAGTGTAAGTTACTTGGCAGTCAATGGGACAGTCACAAGCCTCCCGGTTTTCATCCAAAATATCTTAAATTGTGTTCCGAAGACGAACAAAGCATTTACGGGTTTGGAACGACATGGGGTTAAGTGATTAATGACAACATTTTCATTTTGGGGTGGAGTAACCCTTTAAGCTGAACAAGTTTTACAGGTATTTATTAAGCAGCAATGGAATAATGACTCATATTAGCGAGTGCATCTCTTCTTCATGGACTGCAGCAGATTTGTTCACTCTTCCAACAAGGCACTTGCAAGTTCTCAAACATATCTGAGGGGACACAACATGTGGTGTGCCACAGCAAGGACAATCAGTGGCCCTTTCTGTTCTCCTCTCTTACAATATGGACATTGCAGGACTATGTTATGTTCACACAGGAGAGCAGGAACCCTTGACTTCTTTCGTCTGGTGTTCACAGAATCAATAGAAACGTCTCTTTACTGTCCTAAGTTATTAAAACCTTAATTTCCTGCCACCTGTAAACTGTGAGTGTCTTAAAGTCTGTTCTACAGGTGCAATAATTGTTTGTGGTTCATCGAACAAGCATGAAAATGATTGTTTATACACTTTCCAATAAAGGTCTGTTAAGCGTATTTGGATTTTACAAAATTATATTGAGAAAACAATATCCTGAAAAAGGGATGTTTCTTTTTGCTGAGTTTATATACTTTATATTATGTGTGTGTTTATAGTTTTTTAAATGAATATGAGGGCATGATAACTACATTAACTTTTAATTCTAATACCATTTGAAACATAGTTAAATGCAATAAACATTGTTCTCCCAGGATGAAGAAAGGAGAGCTTTTTGATTACCTAACCGAGAAGGTTACGCTCAGTGAAAAAGAGACAAGGTTAGTATAATGATTTCATGAAACCTGTCAAGAACATGTTTTATATTAAAAAAAGGCATGATAAAAAAAAGCGTTTTTTCTGTTAAAAGTTGTCTTATTTGAATTATATACAAGTCGCTCTCATCATTTTTGTCATCGCACACACAAGTGCACCGTTTTGAGAAATCGAGATAAATAAAAACCCTTTCTGAACCCCTTTGGACCTGAACTCCAGTTGTCAGATTATGATATGATGTGATTATGATAACTTGTTGCAATGAATAAAACAGATATGATCACCCCAGAGAAGAAAGTACATGTATTGTATTTTGTGTTTGATTTATCAGAACTTCTGTGCTTTTCCTGGGCGAGTCGTAATGAACTCCTGCACTAAATAATGTCTCATCAACACGGAGTAATGCCTTGTTTTTTGTCTCGATTTTAGGATGAAATACGACCATAGCTCAATGTACAACAGTGCATTTTGTAAATGTATTTGCAGCAGATTGTTTTTATTTTGCAGGAAGATTATGCGGTCGCTGTTAGAGGTGGTTCAGTTCCTTCACGCTCAAAACATTGTGCACAGAGATCTAAAGCCAGAAAACATCCTTCTGGATGACAATATGAACATCAAACTCACTGATTTTGGCTTTGCTGTGCAGATTGCACCAGGACAAAAACTTAATGGTAAGTTTGAAATGTTTTTTCTTAACGTGTGTGTCGTGATATTTTGTTCAGTATTTATTTTTTGATAACATTTTAAAAATAGTGTATTTTTTTGTTGTGCATGTGTGTGTGATTGTTAAAGGGGTCATATGATGTTGCTAAAAAGAACATTATTTGGTGTAATGAAATGTGTTTATGCGGTTTAAGGTTCAAAAAACACATTATTTTCCACATACTGTACATTATTGTTTCTCCTCTATGCCCCGCCTTTCTGAAACACGTCAATTTTTACAAAGCTCATCGGTCTGAAAAGTGAGGTGTACTGTGATTGGCCAGCTATCCAGTGCGTTGTGATTGGCCGAATACCTCAAGCGTGTGACGGAAATGTTACACCCCTTACCATACTGTGATGCCGTGTCCCGGCCGGAGCGACGAGACAAAAACATTAAAACCCATTATAAACGAGGCATTTGTTGCATCCAGTGGGGACATAATTACAGATTATAATGACTTATACTGTCTTTTTATGCGTTGCGTTGCATCGTGCCATGTAAACATAAAACCATGTCTGCATTTGTGATCGGAGAAATGACAAACAACAAGC